CAATTGTGAAACTCAAAGAGTTAAACAAATATCTCTCAGCTTAGAAAGTCCCACAATTTCAAATTCTAATAATCTTCCTTCGATAGAAGCATCAGCAAATTTTGCATTGTATTTAGGTTACACAGCAACCTTTTTTTGCATTGTCCTCAGCGCCCCCTTTCCTGCATCTTTTCCCACAAAGACTGTCCTTGACCAACACAAGAAATGAATTTGATTTCTCTAATGCAGAAGGTAATTGGATTTTTCTTTATTGAATGCATCCCTTTAATGACTGTCTCTGCTTCTGCCAATTTAGCTGCAAGTGACCTGACATTGATCTGATGATATGACTTAAAATAAAGAGTTGGAGCTGGGGGTGAAAAAGACCAGCTGTCTGGCATCAGAAAAATGTTCTTTGCCTCATCTTGCCATTTTCCTGAAAAAAGTCTTTATCCTTGAATGTCATTTTTACAAAACATGCTGCTATAATAATTGGTGTATAGCAGCAGATTGCCTCCTTCTAGAAAATATAATAAGTATTTCCCAGAAAGTGCCCTGGAGAAAACACTGAAAATTGAATAAAATCCACCCAGTAATCATTCTGTACCTTGAAAATATTTATTACCATGCAGCCGCTTTCTGAAACAGGATAAATATTGCTGAACAGAATTAATTAAATCTGTTACAAAACTGGTGAAACATGAAATATTTATTTAAGTATTTATTTACTTAACCTTGAGGTTTTGTAAAAAATAAAATTTGACAAGAGAATTGTTATTCAAGACGGTTATGAAGGAATAGTGGGTGAAGTCATTATATTTGGAAGAATAGCAATTCTTTCCTCAAGGGGAGTTAAGATATAAAACTTTTTATGCCCAAGAATATATGGAATTTAAATGTCTCTGCTTTTGTCTTTACTCATTTTCTAGTAAGCATGTAACTCACTTGATTCATGGTTCGCTTTTATTCTATCATCTTCCCTTTGTTCATTCTGTTAAATATCATGAATTTTTTTTGATTGCAGATACAATCTATAGGCAGCAGTCTGAGTGAGAAAATAAAATCTCGTAATTGTAAAGTGTCATGAAGAAAATAAATAATAAAGTCATTAATAAATAAGTCTCCTTTAAAAGTAGGTGAAAGAAGTGTTTTTCCTTTTGAATTCATAATATTACTTGCATTCACAATTACCAAAGTCATTAACAATTTAAAGAAATAAACTGAAAGTTTACATTAAGACTACTTATGCTTGAATCTTCAGATTCAGTAATAAAACCACATCACACAAAGTTGGTATAAGCCCTGAGTTAGACAAAGGTATAATAAATTCAGTGTTACTCAGTGACAGTCCATGAACTTGCTTTGGATCAACCAAGAGAAGCTTGGGAGTTCTATCCAAGAAGTGATATTGAAAATAGACTATAAAAAAGAAATGAGTGAATATTTCCTGGACACTGGGCTCCTCACTGTCTGTTCTGATTGCATCTTAATCACTAGCATGCCGGTGAGTGTTTCTAGAGACCATTTCTTAGATATATAGTATGTCAAGATGGGCTTGCTTGAGCACTGGTGTGCCTTCCACAGAAATTCCAGTAGTGTTGAAGGGGTCACTGGCCCAGAAGACATCCTCCCTCCACCCAGTCAAAATCTTTCATCATAAATGATTAAATCTCACCCATTCCATTCCAGTCAAATCATTGTTGGAAGTCACACTTAAATGTAATGTTAACACTTTAAAGAGCAAGAAAAAGTATATTTTAATGGATGGTGAAAATGCTTCCTTACTCAATTCAGTATATCTCATCCTATCTATTTTCTTAATTTTGAATTTGTTTTGTGTGAATTTGAACTCTATCAATTAAATATATAATTAATGAAATACTGTTCTCTTAAAAGGAAGGTATATTTTGTGGAAAAAGGAACATGTGTGTGTACATACACAAATACATTTTCTTTTATTAGAAAAAGTAGATTCCCCATCTCTACAAGCTTTTTAAAAATACTTTTATAGTAGGTTATTTGCTTATTATTAGTTTTAATATTGGCTGAAACTATTAATAGGAGATGTGGCCAGTGAGCAGTTTACTTTGTTAATGCATTGTTGTGCTTTTTAAAATTGCAGTATAGTTGATTTGCAGTATTATATTAGTTTCGGGTGTACAACATAAATCAGTATTTTATAAATTATACTCAATTTAAAGTTATTATAAAATATTGACTATATTCCCTGTGTTGTACAATATATCCTTTTAGCTTATTTATTTTATATATGGGAGTTTGTACCTCTTAACCTCTTACTCCTATCTTGCTGTTAATGCATTTGTAAAAACAAGCATGCATTTGTATCAATTGATTTCCTTGTATCTTCTTTGAGCAAATATTTTGAAGTCTTTTATGTAAAAGATTCTTAGACATTCAAAGGGAAGCAAAGACAAATCTTCCCCTTCAAGAATTTTATAACATTTTTATTTATTTATTTATTTTCATTTATTTTTATTAGTTGGAGGCTAATTACTTTACAATATTGTAGTGGTTTTTGTCATACATTGACATGAATCAGCCATGATTTACATGTATTCCCCATCCCAATCCCCCCTCCCACCTCCCTCTCTACCCTATCCCTCTGGGTCTTCCCAGTGCACCAGGCCCGAGCACTTGCCTCATGCATCCAACCTGGGCTGGTGATCTGTTTCACCTTAGATAATATACATGTTTCGATGCTGTTCTCTCGAAACATTCCACCCTCGCCTTCTCCCACAGAGTCCAAAAGTCTGTTCTGTACATCTGTGTCTCTTTTTCTGTTTTGCATATAGGGCTATCATTACCATCTTTCTAAATTCCATATATATGTGTTAGTATACTGTAATGGTCTTTATCTTTCTGGCTTACTTCACTCTGTATAATGGGCTCCAGTTTCATCCATCTCATTAGAACTGATTCAAATGAATTCTTTTTAAGAGCTGAGTAATATTCCATGGTGTATATGTACCACAGCTTCCTTATCCATTCATCTACTGATGGGCATCTAGGTTGCTTCCATGTCCTGGCTGTTATAAACAGTGCTAGATGAACATTGGGGTGCACGTGTCTCTTTCAGATCTGGTTTCCTCGGTGTGTATTCCCAGGAGTGGGATTGCTGGGTCATATGGAAGTTCTATTTCCAGTTTTTTTAAGAAATCTCCACACTGTTCTCCATAGTGGCTGTACTAGTTTGCATTCCCACCAACAGTGTAAGAGGGTTCCCTTTTCTCCACACCCTCTCCAGCATCTATTGCTTGTAGACTTTCGGATAGCAGCCATCCTGACTGGCGTGTAATGGTACCTCATTGTGGTTTTGATTTGCATTTCTCTGATGATGAGTGATGTTGAGCATCTTTTCATGTGTTTGTTAGCCATCTGTATGTCTTCTTTGGAGAAATGTCTGTTTAGTTCTTTGGCCCATTTTTTGATTGGGTCATTTATTTTTCTGGAGTTGAGCTGGAGGAGTTGCTTGTATATTTTTGAGATTAATCCTTTGTCTGTTGCTTCATTTGCTGTTATTTTCTCCCAATCTGAGGGCTATCTTTTCACCTTGCTTATAGTTTCCTTTGTTGTGCAAAAGCTTTTAAGTTTCATTAGGTCCCATTTGTTTATTTTTGCTTTTATTTCCAATATTCTGGGAGGTGGGTCATAGAGGATCCTGCTGTGATTCATGTCGGAGAGTGTTTTGCCTATGTTCTCCTCTAGGAGTTTTATAGTTTCTGGTCTTACATTTAGATCTTTAATCCATTTTGAGTTTATTTTTGTGTATGGTGTTAGAAAGTGTTCTAGTTTCATTCTTTTACAAGTGGTTGACCAGTTTTCCCAGCACCACTTGTTAAAGAGGTTGTCTTTTTTCCATTGTATATCCTTGCCTCCTTTTTCGAAGATAAGGTGACCATAGGTTTGTGGATTTATCTCTGGGCTTTCTATTCTGTTCCATTGATCTATATTTCTGTCTTTGTGCCAGTACCATACTGTCTTGATGACTGTGGCTTTGTAGTATAGTCTGAAGTCAGGCAGGTTAAGAATTTTAAAATGTAGAGAAGAGAGAGGAAATAGTACATAAATGAGTAAAATAGAAGGTGGAAAGGGATATGTGATGCAAGAAGGAGGACTCAAGAACCACAGCTGGAAGGAACAAGGAAAACATCGCAGCGGTGATGTGACTTTACCCAAGATGTCAGGATCTGTGCATGTGAGAAAAAGAGGTGGAACATTTTTGAGAAAATGCTGGATAATTAGAATACATGTGCCATAAAAAGGGTTCAAGTCATGGGAATTCCCTGGTGGTCCATTTTTTAAGAATCCACTTCCCAAAGCAGGAGACATGGGTTTGGTCCCTGATCTCGGAACTAAGATCCCACATGCCTTGGGGCAACTAGCTCATGGGCCACAATTAGAGAAGAGCGTGCATGCCACAAGATCACACGTGCTGCTACTGAGACCTGAGGCAGGGGAATAGATAAATAAATATATTTTTTAAAGGGTTTGTATCATTGAAAGAGAAAAGGGAGAAAAAAAGACGCCACTATTTTGACTAGTAGTATAGGTAAAAATCTCAACACATCAGGAAATATTTTAATTTTGGAGTTTCTGATTTAGACACATTTTAAAAGAATATAACATTTAATTTAAATATTGTGTTTTTGTTTCTATGGAGAAGTTAACAGTATCTTAAGATGCTTCCTTGTATAAGATCATCTGGATGGATGTTTTTAAAAGAATATCACTATTTGATATGTTGAATGACCTTAAATATGCTCATTCATTATGTAAAGTCAAATGAACTGTGAAAACTTTTAACTGAAGGAAATATACTCTTGTAGTTTTTGTCTCTGCATGTGTTCTAATATTAACACACATATTTTATTCTTAGCAAAATGTGGATTTTTTATATATATATAATTTATGTATATATATATGCATATATATATATATATATATTAAAGCTGAATGGAAGATTTATGAAAGTGCCTAAAACGTTTCTTTCATTGTTGCAGGTCACGGATATGATGCTTCAGGACAAACCCTATCCTGACTGGGGAAAATCTGCAAGAGCTTTCTGGAAGAAAGGAAATGTTAGGATCATTTTATTCTGGTAAGAGACTGTTTCATTTATTGACTGTGTCTTGCCTCTCTCACAAAGGACTTGAGTTAGATTTAGTTTTCTTTACATATATAGAATTCTATCTAGAAAGGCATTTCTGATCGAAACTATATTCCATCATTAAAATGATGAAAACCATTATTTTGACTAATCACTTTGTGCCTACACATTGTTGCATATACCCATTTACAAGAGATACCTTTACTAATACAGTTAAGCAACTACAATTTTATCAGGGATAAGTAGGTTTTTGACTCAGTAAAAATAAGCTAGAATATTCAATGAAGTCTGATATAAAATTCAGTAAATGCTGAATTTCCAGCATATTTGACAGGATGTAATTTTGCTTTGAAGAAATCGTATAGGGAGGGAAATTCTCTACAGCTCACATCTGGCTCATTGGCACTTCTTTATGTAATTTCCTTTAGTGGTCCAGCCCAATTATTGCAATGAGAAAACAATCATTATGGAACTTATGGAACTTTGATTTTTTGCAGAGTCAATGTTATTTATATATATTTGAACAAGCTTAGACAGAAATGGTAGGAATACAGAAACAGCAAGAAGGGCTCTTCCCCAGGCTGTGTGACACTGCCCAAGCGCAGAGATTCAACCTGATGTGTGAAAAGTTACCTACTCTGACACTCGGAAGCCTTGTAATTGATGATAGTTTAAGCTTCATAAATTGCATAAAGTTCATGCTGTTTACCTGCATTTCAAAAAGAAAAAATAAAATCTCTTTATTCTTGGATTTAATTCAAAGGGTTTACTTATTTAATTTTTTCATGTACAGACTACAAAAATCATGGTCACTAAATACTTGGAGGAAAGTATACACTCTAAGCTGTCTTTATGCTTTAGCAGTGTTACTAAATGCTGCTTTAGATATATAGTATTTTGAATTCAATTATTAGCAAGTAAACAAATATAGATTTTTTAATAATATAAAAATGAATATGATTTTGTAGATGTTTATTCACAACTTGTCTCTATAAGTCAAGTGTGACCTATTTTTATGATGCATTTAACTTTATATCTTTTCCTATTTGTAAGCTCCCCATGTTGCTTGACCCGATAATATATAATATAATAATTATAGCGTGTATTTACTGAAGGTATGTTTTGCTCCCGTCTCTGTGCTGAGAATTTATTCATTTCATCCTGATAATCCTATAAGTAAGTGTTATTACTATAAGTATAGGTCTCTGACTTTAAGGCTCCAGTTCTTAATATTTACACTAGACTATCTCTAGAAAAACCAAGGATACATTGGTGTGCAAATTCCAAATGATTATCCTTAATCATTATTTAGGTAATGGTGCTAAATAAGAGTGTGAAATTCTGGAAGATCATTCTACCCTATAGAATTCTGTACAGGGATTTTAAGAATCATGATTTAAAAGGAGATAAAGTCAAATATTGAAAGTGTTTATGGGCTATGTCTCTTTTAAAATAGCCATTTACTGTGGGGGATTTCCCTGGCAGCCCAGTGGTCAAGACTTCATGCTCCCATTGTAGGGCACATGGGTTCAATCCCTGGTAAAGGAACTAAGATCCCACATGCCCCTTGGAGTGGCCAAAAATAAATAGCTAAGATAGATATTTATTTTTTAAAAATCCATTTACTGTGTTTACAGATATTTTGTATAATTAAATGTATCTTCAAAGGCAGCCCATTGATTATTTGCAGGCTGCGGTTGCAGAGTCAGACACGACCAAGCAACTAACACACACTTTGTTTATTAGATAATATATTTGACAGATGATTTTTCGTTGTTATGTTTCAGAGCATGGAGAGCATAAAACAACTGGAGGAAAATTTAAATAGCACTTTGAACATGTTTTTTCCTATTTTATCCATTATATACAGTCAGATTATCTTGACAAGAGTATTCATGGTTTTTAAAAAAGGAAAATCTGATGTAAAAAGGTGAATAAGGAAATTATGTGGGAAGCAAAGAAATATCCCTTTTTGTTTCTACTTTTCAGATAAAAGGGATTTAGCAAGTATAAAGAACATTTGTTTTTTTAGCTCTAGGAGATAAAAATATAGAAATCATTGGCAAGGTTTTAAATGAAATAAAAGATAGTATTTACATACTCTGTGTCACCCATTCAAAAAGAAGTGGTTTTTTTGTTTGTTTGTTTTTCCCTAGTTAAGGAGAGATGAATTTATGTAAAGAAAAGAAGAAATCTGTAGTAAGGAAATTTTGCAAAGGAAAGCATTTATAAGTTGCAGTGTGATTGTGTGCCAGAGTTTAAACATTACAACATGCAATTATGTTGTGGTAAACTTACCTTTTACCTATATGTAGCTGCTTTAACTCACATTTCTGAGTCTGTCAGAAAGTATTTCATTTGCAACTATCTGGCTAAGTTCTTCCTTGATTCTTAGTGATAGATGTTTCTACGCCAGAGGAAATGGTTCTTTCTTTCAGTAAATGTGCAAAGGTATATTTCATGGGCCTTTAAACCTTACAGGAGACTCAACAGTGGTAGGTTTGAAGATACTAAATGGAAACAGACAGACTACAGAACTACCCTTCCAAAACCCCATTCCCAGGCCTTTTGTTAACTACAAAGAATAAAAATTTTAAATCTAAATCTTAAATTAATGCCATAATGTGTATGTGATCAGTTGTGTCTGATCTTTGCAACCTCATGGACTATAGCCTTCCAGGCTCCTCTGTCCATGGAATTCTCCAGGCAAGAATACTGGGGTGGATAGCCATTCCCTGATCCAGGGAATCTTCCTGATCCAGAAATCGAACCCGGGTCTCCTGCATTGCAGGATAATTCTTTACATCTCAGCCATCAGGGAAGCCCCAAGTTAATGCCACATACTGTTCTATTTTCCAGAGGGACGCCCAAAGCCTATTTTCACTCACCAGTATCTGAAGTAAATGTGTACATAAACATGGACATAAAATAACAAGTGGTATAATATTTATGTTAGCTTCTATCTCCCTGCTTTATTTACACTCTGGAGACACAATTTATATGCTTTTGAGGGAAAACAGGTTGCAAAGATATTTCCCGAAGTCTTATATTAAAATATAAGGGAAGACACTCTTCTGTAATTAGTAGGAGAATCAGTGGAAGAAGAAATCGGGAGAGCTGGTGGGTCATTTGGGCTTCACAGATACTTCAGTTCCTTGCCCTGGAGACACATTAAGAGGATTGCACTTTTCTGAGCCCTCTGATCACATGACTTGTTTTGACCAATTAAAATGTGAGTGGAAGAGACATGCATTACCTCTAAGTAGAAGCATTTAATTTAATTTAATTTAATTCTCATTAATACCAATGAGAAGCATTGCAAACGGCTCCTTTCCTGGTAGCCACGGTTGGAGTTTGTGTCTAGCTGGAGCCCTGTCATTCAGGCTCCATGAATGACCAGAATAGAGCCAGCATGCTTAACACATGTAGTGTGAGTAAGGAATAGGTCTTTGCAAATGTTAAGCCACTGAAATTTGGGGGTGTTTGATAGGGCAACAAAAACCAGCGTGTCCTGATGTACGCTCAAAAGTGGAGTGCTGTCACAGCAGAAAGTGAAAATTTTTGTCTTTAAGGGCTGGACAGAAAATGGCAAGGAAACCAATGATGGAGGCTAGAAAGCTGGCAGTGAGGATGTTATAGTGCCAAAGCATTTGGTAAAAACTGCGGCCTGTGGTTAGTTAGATGCTTAGACTTGGAAAGCATAGTGTGTGGCTGTGTGTGTCTAGGTACAACCGACCTCTTCCATTCTACTAAGTTGCATTGAAGAGATTGCATTTCATTTTTTTCTGTATTTAATGATTCAGTTCAGTTCAGTCGCTCAGTCATGTCCAACTCCTTGTGACCCCATGAATCGCAGCACGCCAGGCCTCCCTGTCTATCACCAACTCCCGGAGTCTACTCAAACCCATGTCCATCGAGTCAGTCATGCCATCCAGCCATCTCATCCTCTGTCGTCCCCTTCTCCTCCTTCCCCCAGTCCCTCCCAGCATCAGGGTCTTTTCCAATGAGAGAGCAGAATATGGACTGCTATAGTCTGAATGTTTGCATCCCTCCAAAATTCCTATGTTGAACTCTTGATGCCTTGTGTGATGGTGGGACCTTTGCGAGGTGCTTAGGTGGTGATGGTGGTGCCTATAGAAATGGGACTAGTGCATTTATAAAAAAGACCATAGCCCATTCTACCATGTGAGGACACATTGAGAAGGCACCAGCTATAAGTAGGAAGGAGGGCCTCACCAAACTCGACCGTGCTGATACCTTCCTCTTGGACTTCCAGCCTCCAGAATTGTGAGAAATAAATGTCTGGTGTATATGTGTCACCCAGTGTGTGTGATACTTTGCCATTACAGCCCAAATGGATAAAGATATGAGTCCATGAGTCTAAGTCCCATGAAACAGATTTAGTTCCAAGTATGAAAGAATGCCCTAATAACATGAGCCTCTGAGTGCTTAATGAGCCTGCCTGATGTACTGCTAAATTCCCCATCAGTGGAAGTATTCCTGCTGAGACTACATACTCCTTCAGGGATGCTATACAGGATTTTCACATTGAATGAGAAAAAAGGTAAATCACTTAAAATTTTCATCAAACTTCAAGATTCTCGGACTCGACATTTTTAACTAGAGAAGTACTGCATATTTATTTTTAATAGAGAGGATACTAAATATAATTTAATATGTTCTGTATAATTCCATCATCATTATAGCAAAATTTTTGCAGTAGACAATAATTCATGAAAAGTTCCAGGGGCAACTAGAGTATGCACAGTTTTTTGCCTCACTTCCCAAGTAATAAATTAGCCCATATCTTTTCTCTGGATGGATTTTTGTCTTTTTGCCTTCAGCCTTCCTTCCACCTCAACATGTCTCTTTGTGCAGTTGTATATCTTTAATTAAAAGCTGCCTCTGTGAGGAAAAGTAGAGCATTTTTAGCCCAGGTCATGTAACTGTACCTATTGAATCAGTCACCTTCACTTTATACACTACTCTAA